TGTGCTCTTCCCACCATGGATCGGAGCCGCCCATGGATCCCAGCCTGTCCCCGCGTGCTGGGCCCTCCTGCCACAGATCTGCAGTGGTTTTCACAAACCAACACACGCTGCGTCTCCACCAGACCACTGACCTGCCGTCTCCTCCTCCTCTCATCAGCCAGTGCTTTTAATGCTCCAATTCCTTGACAGTATCGGGAAATGCCATCAGAGAGACGTAATATAGAGATCCCTGGAAAAGCAGCTCTGACAGAATGGGTATTTCCTACTATTGACTTCAAAGAAAGGCAGGCTGGTATTAATGGGTTTCTTACAGCACTCCTCTGGCACCAGTGCGCAACACCCTCCCGTCGGGAAGCTGATAACACCTGGCAGGCCCTCGCGGCCTTCCCGCGAGTCGGGCGAGGGAGCCTATTGCTTAGGTAAAGTACCTGAAGGTATCGACACCTGTTTTCCCTGCAGATCCAGAATTGTCCCTCGGCCTCATCCGTTGATCCCGAGCGCGCTCATTGCTCACCGTGCGCCACGAAACACAGGCTGCCCCCGGCCTGTGGGCAGCGCGTTACTCACTCGCTATGGAGGACAGAGATTCCACGCTGGTTTCCTTAGTAGCAGTAGCCATAACACTAATCTGCCCACTAGGCCCTTTTTTGCCCATAAATTTAATAGTGGGTTGCTGCCCGTGATGTGTTACGAATGTAGAGGGGCCTTCTGGTGCTCAGAGGAAAGTTTTTGCAGGTTTATGACATGCCAAGCCACCTACAACCACCTACGTCAGAGATGCACATAAAAATAACAGAAAGTTCCACAGGACCACTATCTTTTATGTGATCTATACAAAAATCCGTTTCATGGGTAGACTGGCCAATGGGTAGCGTGTGTGATGTAGTGATTTGAACATAAGATCTGGGCCTGGAATGCTGCAATTGCCTCGTGATGCCCTTAGGCAAGTTACTTATCTTCTCTGCGTCTCAATTTCCCCCTGTCCAACAGGGTACCTGTAGTATGATCCCCTTAGGGATCTGTGTACAACGGTGGCACCCAAGTCACTGCATCAAGACAGCTCCCAAACTCAGTATTTTGCATATATGCAAGAAAAAAAAAAAATCTGCTCCAGTCTTAACTATCTAAGCAGGAGCATGACATGACAAGCAGGTCTTAAACACATTCAGGAGGCGTTTGTTCCTTTAAAATATATGAAACCAGAGCTACTTAAAACAGGTGTTACCACTGGCCATGTCCTTTCATGGGTGTCACACAAGTTATGACACCCGATTCCTGCTAACACAAATTTGCACACGTGGAAATCACACAAACACCCTTACCTGTGCTCATGTCTGTGGAGGGTGGCAGCACAGCCCCCTGTGCACACACGCACAGCGTTGGGAGCTTCGTTTTCTGCTCCTTGTGAAGCCACGAGAGGTTCAGAGGACGCACCGGCAAGCCAAGTACGGCCTTGTCCAAATCAAACAGTTCTAGACACCTAAATGAGCAGCTCTGTATTTACATTTGCAAACAGAGGCTTAAGCTGAGGATACAATATTTGGACATCGGCAGGGTTCTACCCAGCAAAGTACCGAAATACAGCAAAAGGCACTTTTGCTGATAAAAAGGCTGAGGCAAAAAAAGCTTTGAGAAACTTCTCTTTCTTTGAAAAAAAAAAAAACTATTTAAGCTTGCTAATTTTTGCTGTCTCAGACAATCAGAATTCCAATTGTCTGGGACATCAAATCTAAAAAAGCATGAAATTAATCTTCAGAAGTTAAAGTCTTAAAGGCATTGCATCATTATTTTTGTTGGATATATTTTTGATTATAATGCAGATGAACCCCAAATTTAATAAAACTAAAATAACATGAGTTAAGTATGAAACATAACAGGATATTGCAAAGAGATTAGGTAGTTTCCTTTAGACTACTTGCAGAGCCCAAGGAAAAAGCAAATGCAGGGACACAATGATGAGAAGGCACCACTTAATTAGAATATTTAACAGAATATGAAAACAGAGTATGCAGAGCGCAGCTTTTGGCAGGGAAATGCAGGGAGCAGAATATGTCCCCAAGACCTCAGGAGTTCTCTCCACCAGATACTGTTTTGCCTGTCGACTGTCTGTAGCACAGAAAGAAGCAGGCTGGCTAAATTTAAACCAGCTGGAATGATGAGAGTGTTACAGTTGGACTGGAGGAAGCTTACCTCATGAAAGTATTGTGGAAACTGCTGTTGGAAAGATAATAAAAGGATTAACTGCAGTTTTAGTGAACCATTTACTTTTCAATCAAAATGTCTCATGTATTTCCTGTTCTCAAGTAGCTTGAATTCCAAAATTCCTTTGTCTATTACAGTACATAGTAGCAAAGCCTGTCATAAGAAATTAATAATTTTACATGGAAAAGTGCTTTTATGTCGGAGGGCAGGGTGCTGCTTGCTGCTCGCCTCTCCGGAGCAGTTCAATACCTAGTCCGCTAGTAATCTTACAGAGGGGCACAAAATCAACGGCTTAAAAAGGAAGTACAATGGGTAATTGTGAACAGCGAAAGAAAATCTCCACTACAAATACCAAGAGATGTAAAGTTACTTTAGCGGGGCTGCAGCGAAAATGAAACAAAATCTCAGCCCTCAATAGACACGGAATGAATTGCCTTCTTAATTTGCAGGAGTAACAGCACAATTATTACCACATCAAAAGCGAAGCCATCATTTAAAATGACATGACATGGGAGCACAATGAAGCCCTGCACAGCAACCCCGGTTCAAAGTAAAATGGAATTCGCTGGGCAAATAATCCCCACTTGATATTAATAACTTTAAGGAGCTGTGTTGCAGCTTCAGCTCTCGGTGCTGCAGCATCAAGGTTTTTGCGGGGCAGAAAACTAAGGTTGCAAAGGGGACGCATTTTTCAAGGGCTCTCTTGGATCCAGGTTTATTCCAGCGCAGGATTCCCGGCAGTGACACCCGGGTGTAACGGGGTAACGCGGACGCCTCGGCTGCCCATAGCAGGGTGTTGTGCTGGAGATGAAGGGGTTAACTGCCCGTGCTGCCCTGTGAAGCTCCTAAATCCGAGCACGTTGTCCTCCCAAGGACTGCAACAACTACAGTATCAGCTGGGACCAAACGGACCTTTATGGACTCGCAAGCCCAGGCCGCCTGCAGAGGCACAACGCTAAACCTTGAGCACACCAATCTTCTCTTACGAACATAGCAACCCGAAGGAGGGAATTTTTAGCATTTGCTAAGATGTTACACGGTTTAACTTCTCTGGCTTGTGCAGTTTCCAGTGCGAGTGGAAATGTAACAATACAAACCTGCTACAAAAACTGTTAAATACCCTCCAACAGAAAAGACAAAAGTTCCCCCATCTGCGGAGTCTAAGGACCGTCTCATCGTCCTGGCAAATGGAACCAGCTAGACTATTTTAAATGTTTTCTTTAAAAACTGGGAGATGAAAGCAGGGAGAAGACTGATCTCTTGGTAGTAGATTAAAAACATTAAAAACAGAAAGCAGGCTGAAATAAAATCTATATGCTTTCACAGCTTATTTATACTTTTCTTTGGAAAGAAGCAACTAACTTCCATTATCCTTTGATGATTTATGACAAAAGATATTCATAAGTAGTTCAAACTCGTTTACATTTTTACCCCGCAGGATTGAGCATTTTCTGCAAATGAGCAAGCCAGTTCTCCTGCTCAAAGAGAAGAGATTCAGGTAAATCTTAGAGACTTTCCATTTTATCTTGGGCACCTAAATGACAATCTCTAAGTAACTGTACTGTGTCCAGCATTATTTTAGGGAATACCCACTGATATTAAGGTAACATTAGTAATTTATCCAAGAGAAGTAAGAAGATAATTGGTGATCGTTTGCAGAGAATATTTTTCTCTGTAAAACATTCTGAATATTATTTTTTCTTGCTTTCTCCCCTGTTGCAGGCCAACAAGCATTTCCTCAAACAAACGAAAAAACAGCAAGCTTTTCATACAAACACATTTTGCTGTTCCTCCATAGAAAGCCACAGCTTGCCATGGAGAAGTTTGTCTTGATCTAACTTTCTTACGACAGTTTTCCATTAAATCATTCTCCGATCAAAACAACAAAATAGACGTATAGCTGAAAATGCAGCCTATCTAGAAACACGAGGCGCTGCCACAGCCTTTTCTTTTTGTTTGCTTTCTGTGGGGGTGCCTGTGTGCGCACACGCTCACGGCGCGCGTGTGCGCTGCAAATACGACTTTTTACATTTCATGGCCCAATTTGGAAGCTTATGTCAAACTTGTTTTGCTTCATGTGTTTCAGTCATGGTCTTATATCATCGCTGTTTCCAGCATGTGGAAAGCTTAATGGAAGTCATTAACTTTTATTTTAGTTTGGCCATATTGTCATCATGGTGGGCAGACGCAGCGATGGTGCTATTCCCAAGATCCTCTTTTTGGAACGCTGATGTTGTTTACATCTTCTTGAACAGGCAAGAACAATGGTTTTCACTTATTTTTAAAGCTCTGTTTTGCAAATTAAAAAAGCCCCTAGAAACCTTTGAAAATCCAATTAAAGTTACTCTTTTTTTTAACTATTTAAAAACCTTAGCAAGATTCTTTTTCATTTCTAAACTACCATTTGAAATTTTCGCACTCACAATTCTATGGGTTATTGTTCAGCTGAAGGAATGAAAAGAATTTCATTAGATGTGTTTTGTGTTTCTTGATTAAAAATGTCACCCGAGGCTCAGTGACTTGTTTTACGTTAAATGGCTGCTGCATGCTTTGATCATCACTCTATTAATTCTTTAATGAATATTAAAAAAAATAAAGCACTAAGCTCTCATATACAGAAACTGAATCTCTTTTCCAAGAACTACAGTATTTCTTACTCAAACATTTCCTTCTAGATTAAGGTCTTTCTGCAGTTCTCCATTACCCTGCTGCAGCCCAAATTACAGGAAAGCACAATAATTATATTGGAATAATATTGAAGAGGGAACAAGAAAGAGAGCAAAGCAGTATGTTTCTACTCAAGCAAATATATTCCAGACTTACCATGCACTTGTTTGGTTTTTCTCCGGAATGAACCCTCATATGAATCAGCAGTTTGTAGCGAGCATTGAAGGGTTTATACCGGCGGACGCAGCCTGCCCAGAAGCAAGTGAAGTCCTCTCCTTTCCGCTGGTCAATGTGCGTCTTTTCTATGTGCCTGACCAGTTCGTCTTGCTGGTCGTACGTGGCACTGCAGTCAATCCAGCGACAGACCTGCTTGCCACTGCTGAGGTCCTGCTCGTCGCCCTCGCTGGGCTGAAGGGACTTGGGGGACACGGCGGGGTGCAAGTGAGGCAGCGGCCCGGGGGTCTGGCTGAGCTGCTGGTGGAGATGGTAGGGGGGAGGCAACCCCTGGTGATGCCGGAAAAGGTCAGAAGCGGAGGAGTAATCATCGGCCGGTTCTTGTTTTAAGAAACTCACCTTCTGGGTGCTGTGCGGGGCGCTCTGATGGGGAACGCTCGTGCCGTTCATCATAAGGCTGAGGGCTCCATTCTCCTCCACTTGCTGCATTGGCATCTGCTCACAGTCGCCTCTGTCGCAGTCAGCAGCAACAGGCACAAGACATGCTGGAGGGGAGGGGATGCTGCAAGGGTTTCCGGGCTGAGAGCAAGATTGGGGCCGAGAGGATTTTTGAGCGCCGTGATGACTGCTCTCCACAGGATGAGAGGAAATGCCAGCCGAGTTAGTCCGCAGCCCGTTCACACAGGTGACCAGTGACGTCTGCGACGTGCGGATGATAGCTGTAATATCGATTCCTTCGGCTGAGGACGGCACCACAGAAATGCATCTCTTCTTCAGGCTGCTCGACTGCAGCCTGCCCGAGTGCTGAGGGGTGCCGAGCGACAAGGGACCCAGGGAGGAGCTATGTTCGTTATTGAACAAGTACGTTGAAAGCGAATTTGTAAAGCTATTATTCACTAGGTCTATGTCCGGATGCAGGCTACCGGGGGCTCGCAGCTCCATCCCCTCCGTAATCCTCCTGTGTGGAGAAGCCTCAGACACAACCTTATAATCGCTCAGGCACTCCTGTTTGATGTGCTGAGCCGGGTGGCTTCCATTCAGGCATGGAGCAGCAGCATCTCCCGACTCCGGAAACCTGGGCGACCTGCAACACAGTTTTCATTGAGCATCACTAACTGCCACAGGACTGATGATTTTTGTACAAGACACAATGTTTGTTAAGCCTTGGAAAAAGATTTTGGTACAGGACACAATGTTTGTTAAGCCTTTGAAAATGGAGGCTCTCTGCTGAATGTTGCCTGCCTAATGCAGCAATTACATCAAAAAATTCTGCAACGCTTCCCCTACAACCCTTGTAAAGGCAGCATCATTTTACACAGGATTAATTTTACACAGTGGGTTACACACAAGAGAGACAATCTCTCTTCCACTGCTACGAGCAATTCATCAATCACAATCTAGGTTTTCAATGCATAATAGATTGGGCAAAACAATAGCTGAGAATGAAGTTTGAGAGCTTTGGGCATTTTTGAATTATTCAAATATCGGCGTTTTCCTCCGAGCACACTGGGAAAACGCCTCAGCATTCTCGTTCATGCTAATCAGAAAAGGCCAGCTGAGTTTTGCTTACACTTTGGAGAGATGCTGTCCTTCCCTCAGTTAAAGGAGAATGAGCAGTGAGGAAAAAAGGAGCGCATAGAAACAACACGGCATTTTCAACCAGTGGTCCATAGTTGATGAGAGGTCAGCATGCCTGTTTACTTCTTACAGATCTATGCAGGAAAACCATGGAAAGCCCACAATCCGTACATTGAAACTGGTAGTCCATGTTTCCCCACTTGTATTTCCCTCATGAAAACCTACATGGGTCTGCAAATCAGCAAACGTTAAAAATCACTTATGCAGAATTCCTGGCAACTGTGAAAAGCAGCAAATGAACATGAGCAAACAAACAAGTGCCAAAGTAGCCTTTAGATGTGAGATTCTCAACCTGGACACCTTGACAACTGTCTCCTCATGAGGGTACCATTGATGGAGTTAGGGGCACCAAGACATGGACAAGGAATGACCCTATGCAGGCTATCCTGCCTCCAAACATGTGCTGAATCCTGGCACTTGGAAGCAGGACTTGGATGAACCACTCCCATTGCCATCTCAGAAAAAAAACACTGCATTTAGGAGCCTTTCTTGCTAATATTTTCATCCAAGCAGTTAGAGTTTGGTTTATGCCTTTAAAATGAAACATTTTATCTGAAACACATTTATTGTGGACGACCCAACATGTCTCAGGACCAGTAGGTGATCCTCACATCTTCCTGAAGCACAGCAAGGCTTGAGCCGTGCTTCCCCACACAGTGGTTTGCCAGCCTGGGGACACCAAAAGCACAGCTGTGCGCAAGGCAGCTCTACCTGAGCCAACAAACTCTCTGGAGAGGTTTTCCAGAGGTCTTACACCTGATACAATTTTTTTTTTCTTTGATGCTACCTCCACAAAAGCCGGAAAAAGTCTGGCCATTTGGCAGGTCTTACATGACAACATAGCAAAGACGAACCAGGCACCTTTCAAAGCATGAAACCCAAGTGTATAAAATAATGTGGATGTACCCAGGCAATAAACTGCAGAGCTGCGGAATAAACTGCACTTATTTTATGGCTTGGATGATTTCACTTCTCTAATTTGCATTAATCTACCACTAACATCAGAAGTTGTATGGCTTCTAGGACTTCCCTTATAACCGCTCTCGAAGAGCTACTGATTAGAATAAAATAAAACAAAGCAGAACAACCACAGAAACTCTCAAAAAGACTCTCCCCAGGAAATGAGGATACTCAAAAAATTACACCTATTTGAGGCATACAACTGGCAACACTGCAGTCACTAGGGACAGATTTCTAGGCTCCAACTTTTCAAGGCCAGAAAGACTCGACATAAAGAACTTTAATGCCACAAGAGAACTGAAATTCCCCACCGCTCATTGATATAGAATAAGATCTTGCATTTTGCCACTGAAATTTTTAAAACATTATATTTAATAATTTTAGAGGTTTCCATAATCCATTAGTTATAATTTCTCCCTTTGGGTTTGTGCAGTTGGTCTCAGAGTAAACTTAAAGCACCTGGTTTTGCAGATGGTGAGTAAAAAAAACACACACACACAACAGTACTCATACTTTATTTTTTAACATTTCCAGAACCATATGTCTGTAAAATATATGGCATAAGCAAAAACAAAGTAAAAACCTTTTATTGCACATCTTTGGAAAAGTCCGGCTTGCTTTCTTGTAGCTTCACTGCTCAGGAGAAAGCATGTTGTTCCAAACTCATTCTGCAAAAGGTTTCACAGATACCAAGCCATCTCCTATTATTTAATTTTTTTCGATATGAGAACTCTTCTAAATAATTCAGGTTGTACCATAGCTTAGTGGTCACAAAGCCTTAGGCTAAATTAAATACAACACATTTCTTGTATCACATAAAGCTAACCAAATCCTTACATTTCGGCCTGTGATAATTGGAGTCAATAATTAAGCCTTAAGAAAGGCTCCTATCCTGTTCCTAATCCACACATGGAGTTCAAGTGAAGTCAGTGCAGAGTACTGGCAGGAGGGCACACACATCCCGATCCTGAGAAATCCTGCGCTCCCAAAACTCCCAGCAACATCGATCTTTATTTCAAGCACAAGATCTTTCTAGGAATGAGGACAGTATTGCTGAGATGCCGGTGCCATGTGGAATATGAGATGCATAAAAGAGGGGACTTTTGAACAAAAGGCAAGCTAGAATGCCTTAGTTCAGAAACAGAAGAGTTGAGGCACTGAATTCATACTTCCTATCCACAGGTCTTATCCCAGCTGTGCCTGTGTAATTGTGAGTGCAGGTTGCTTGTGCAGATGTGCAAAGTGAGTCCTTCCTGAGAGATCCAGCTTTCCTGCAGCTTGTCTTTCCAACGATAGTTAGCTCGGCTGGGAGAATTCAGCTTTCTTTTAATTTCCTGCTTTTCTTTTGTTGTGCTGAACCTCAAGGTTGCATTAATGCAAACTTTCTGAATTCCTAGCACAGTGTTGTCTTCCCTGTTCTAGGGAAAACCCTGCTGGTTCTTCCCAGATCCTTGGGAACAGGGACAAAACTGATGCAAGAGAGAGCAGGTGCTGGCGAGCAGCTTTGAGCGGCTCCCCCTGCACCCACTGGCTCTGTCCCCTGTCACGGTGCCTCGCTGCCACAGCCAGAGATCTGCTGCACGTGGGCTCTCCTTGCCCTACGGATTTCCAGGCTCTGGACGTATGGAAGAGGCAGAACAGAGGACGGCCCAGCAGTGCGGGGATCCCGGGGGACGTGCTCACCTGCAGGGCGGCTCTGCTGGGTCCCCATGGGATGCATCCCATGCACTGGGGACGGACCGTCGGAAGCAGCAGTGCTCCACAGCGGGATCGGAATCCGTGCCCGGAAACGGCAGCCCCTCCGAGGACACGAAAACAGCGTTTCCAAAGCGGCTCCCTTACGTGGTAATTGGAGCCAGAGCACGAGGCCAGCAGCACCATGCCAGAATGCTGCAGTTCCCAACAGCCCTCAGAGGAAACGGGCCCCGTATCTGAAATCTCCACACTATTTACAAAACAACCGTACGCGCCTGCCATCACCCCTGTAAATGAGCAATTTGTGACAACTGGCAGTTTTAAGAAGCTGGAGGAGATTGCTCGGCTGCACATCTAGGGACCCTGTGCAACATTATCTAACCGCTCCGCCGCCTTCCGCGCGCTTTGTGCAGCTCCGCGTGGGCGGCCGGGCCGGGCCCGATAATGGATTGTTTGACTGAAGGCCAACGTGAGCTGTGGGCTGACTCCCGTTGCGGTAAAGGAGGGATTAGGACTTCTCCAGTCCCACACACATCTCATTCGCAGACAGCATGTAGTGGTAGTCTCGTTGCAAAACTCAGAAGCTATTAACTGAGAGGGGAAAACGGGATGGGAAGAAGCCGGGTCATGATTCTTGGATTAAGGCAGTCATCCCTGAAATACAGTTTCTGAGAGAAAGTGATTCAGAGACGCTGAGGGGATTACAAGTTTTAGTCCACTGAGGGATAAAAGCACAAAGCCAACCGTAACCCCAAATCCTGAGGGAGTTCTGCAATGGCTGGGGGAGCTGTTTGGTTTGTTTGGGTTTTCTTTGGATGCTGCACATCCTAGAAATGCGAAGTGCTTCAAAGCTCAACTCAGAGGGCTTGCTGGAATTGACACCTCCTTTTATTTCTGTCTGGTTCCTGGTAGAACCATGTGCCAAGAAGAGCCTGCACTTTCCACCCCATCGTGCTCAGGTGTCTGTCGTCCAGTGCAGCCCTCCTTCACTCACACATCTTCTAACAAAAGCTGAAATCTAGGGAGGCAAAGAGCACCCTTGGCTGCCAGTGACTTCACATTCAGCCCTCCTCAGTTATAACTCGTATGCCCAAATATTCAGGCAAAGACCATGTTTTCTGTTACTTGCTTGTCATGAACTTCTGGCATCACAAACTCCCTGAACAGAAATCATTCCAGCTGCTGACCACCTTCTCTCCCGTGCTAAGGTTTTGGCTCTGGACCATATGTCCAGTGAGCAACACAGTGCTAACATTAGACACTGTGCCTGGCTGGTCCATAGAGTAGAGCTGGGCATTGACATTACCCTGTAAATCCCATGATGATGGGATGAAAAGAATATTAGCCAGGTGGATACATAAGCAGAGCATGACCTGTGCGACACACAAACAAGCCACAGAAGGGACCTATCCTATACCTTCTGAATATTTCCCCAATATTTCCAAACAATTACTTAGGAAGTAGCAGAGCCTCAAGGATTTAGACTGTGTTATCCAGCAAAAGGGAAGGAATTAAGCCTATCACCTGCTACTTTTTCATACCAGTGGCTCTCATGTTCTGCAGCAGACAATCCTTTATGTTGTTCTGGGAATGGGGGCTGGAAGAGGTTCATATTTCGGAGGGTGGGTACTGTGATCCCTGGTAGGCAGGTATCTGTCATTTCCTCATTATAGATTTTACAAAAAGGTTCAAAAAGATCTAAGCAGGTTACTCTCTTCCTCCTTTTGTTTGCTCCTGCCCTAATTATCTTTGTCTCATAATTGTCCTCACTGACAGAATAAAAAAAAGGGTGATAACTGCTAGTCCCACATTAAGCCATAAAGGGGCTGGGAGGGAGCAGACTTAAATGCAGCAGTAACAGCATCCACCTACCTTTGCAGCAACAGCAGAATATTTTGTTATGTGGCATAACGCATCCTTTCAAACAAACAAACAAACAAACCCAAAGCTCCTTCCACTTCCTTGCTACATTGCTGTGCATTCTCTTTCTGAAAATGCAGATGTTTGCATCTGTGCATTTACACCACAATAAATGGAATAGGGTAAACAAGGCACAAATATGTATAATAAAATCAGAAACAGCCAGAATTCCAAGCCCAAATTTCCATAGTCCACATTTCCTCTTGCTGTGACTAGGGAAATTCAAGCTTGATAGTTCTAGGCAGAGCTTGCCAATTATTCCAAGTATCTAAGATAAAGGCTGTAACTTTATTGAGGTTTTTCTTTTCTACAGCTCTTCAAAAAGGTCAAGATCATTCCATATTGTATTCCTTGCCAAAAAGCAATGTAATTAAAATAGATGGACAGGTTTTAATTTGGAGCAGGCTTCTATTCACAATGGATGTCTGTTTAGGGTATTTGTTTAAAATCTGGTAATGTTAAATTTGTAACAACAACAAAAAATAATGGAGTTCTGTGTTTTCATATAATTAATTTATAGCAAATGTTTAAATAGAGATTCTGTTCATAGCAGATCCAAATACAGTATATATATCAAAACCAGAGACCAAATTTTCACATTATGGCCTTAAAAGCAAATACCAAGGATGTGGCTGCATGGGAACATTGAGAGTCCTTCATTAAAGGAAATGCTGTAGAAATAAAAGTGGCACTGGCTTCCTGTAAGTTTGATGGGGGCATGCCAAAGTGCCATATGGGAGCCATTGGTCTGGGAGTAGCATCCCTGCCTTGCAGGCTACTATTTGGAAACAACAGGGCATTGGGCTGGCTGGTGGAGGTACAGAGGAGGCAAGGCTGATCCTACTTAAGTCCCTGGCAAAGCTCTCAGTGACTTCTGAGAGTGCTGGAGCAGTCCCCGTGGAGAAGCTGTATCACAGCTCCAGGGTAGGAGGCTGCAGCTCATTTTGGAGACCCTCCCCTGGCACTGCTGGGACAACGGGCTGGGTACACGAGCCCAATGGCTGCACTTCCCTCCCTGCAATGAGAACCTGCAAATGAGCCTTGTGGCTCAGTGAGCATCTTAGAAGGACATCCAAAGTGAAGTAAAACCCCCCAAATCTCTTCCAAATGCAGCACCTCCATCTGGTCCCAAGATAAAACCCAGGGAAAGGGAAAACACAGGTTTATACCCAGAGTGGTGCTACTGGGAAATGATTGCAACAGGGAAGCAATCCCGAAGGGCCAAGTGTATGAGGCTGTAAAGCTTGCAAGGTACCTTATGTCCGAGTGTGCCAAGTTGAGCTGCCCAACATGCAGCAGCCTCTCACAGGACAGCGGGTGGTCTCGCACCAGCGGGCTCCCCGCGTGGATGAACAGACCTTGTCTGCAGACGGGCACCGAGCTGTTCGTCACCTCCACGTCCATCACGTTCTTCTTCTCTGAGATCAGATTACAATGACTGTAGCCACCGTTCACTGTCAAAAAAATACAAGAAATAACAATAAGCCTCTAATCCAGAACCGTCTATATTCATTACTACTTTGTAGGCTGCTTGCTTCGGATCTCCTTGTAAAATTCTTGTAAACGACATGGCACTGGAAATGAAAAGTTTCACAATGAAGCAAAAATTAATTCCAAAAGAATCTGCGTCTGTGAGTTATGGCTGTTTATTTCTCTCTCCAAGTTATGGAACTGTTTTGCACTCCATACTCTAACTCTAACTAAAAAAAAAAATTAATGTAATAGCTTCCTTTCCTTCTGTGTATTTTTGTGGTAGAGCCTTGCTTGTGCTAGATTTTGAGGAAGGACATTTTAGAAGATTATTTTTTAGAAGTCTTTATTTTCAGTGAGAGGAAGTCTGAAAACCATGACATAAGTCACGTTTTTCTTCACAGATTATCATTTTGGTGATTATGACTTTAGGTGGGCATGTTTCAACATTACTGTCAGGTCAACAATGTGAGGAAAAAAAAGAACTATTTTTGTTTCAACGTATACATTTAACTGCATTCTCCAAATAGGCTATTATTATAAATGACGATAGCAGTGATGATGCTAATAATGTAATAATGGATTCTGCACTGTATAACACCGGTGAATATTAAATTTTACCAGATTTGGCAAAACAGAGCAGTGCTACATCAGTATTCTTACATTTACATCCAGCATTGGATAATTGAGCTTAAAAGAGAGAACAAAGTTGGAGTTGTGAATTTGTATCTGTGTTGGTGAAACACTAACTATTCCATTTAATTTGGTTATTTCATTGTCTTTAGGGAACCACTCAAATCCTCAGAGATGAGCACGTATAAAAGTATTTGTAAGCCATTCAGCCTTCAAAGGTTAACAAGAAGAGTCACAGTAGTTATTTACCAACATTTTCCTTACTGGATCTGAGTCATGCTTTCAAAATACTAGTTCTCCCCCAGTCTGTTTTCTCTCATGGTGACAAAACGCGACGGTTCCAGAAGCTAACGGCAAGCACATTTGCTCAGCATGCACAGAGGGCCCAGGAAAGCCACCCCTGCGCCCTCGCACGCGGGGCTGCTGCTGGCCGTGGCAGAGCTGGGTGGCTCTGACTTGTCCCACCTGCTGTGGAGGCACCTACTGTCGCACAGGGAAGAAAACAAAGTGATGACAAAGTGACCGAAGAGGAAGCCTATGCCCAGTTTTATGCAAATCGCTGATTCTCACTAGCACCAAGGCTTGTTCTTCACTAGGGTGTTAGGAGGCGGGATCCATTTCACTGAGGTTTTACTGCCTGTTTGGCAGACAAGGCCTAGGCCCTTCAGGCAAGGCACCTGACAACAGGTATCTAAAACGGGGTTAACCACCTTTGGGACCTGCCTTCCTCTTTCCCTTGACTACAGAAGCCACAAAGATGATTAAATCAGGCATCTCACTTCCAGTCAGCAGTAGTTTGGTGAAATTAATCCCACTGAGCAGCCATATGATTTACCAACATCCTCATCACAAAATATCACACCTCATCACACTGCCCTCAGCTCTGGCCCTCCCACGCCGGGCACAACTGCTATCGTTTTACCTTTATCATTTGTGATACTATGCAGAACTTGTAGATATTGAAGTTGGTATACTACTACATAATTGCATAAGTATCACTGTATTCAGTTAATGATATTTTCATGACATAAGACTAAGCCATTGCTTTAGCACAGCTTCTCAGAGCAGAGACGCCTTTAACATGAACCCCCTTTTCCTCTTATGCAAAGCTAACCCCATGGCTGACAAAAGGCAAGTGGGAATCCCTGAGCTGCTGTGGTCCTCTACCAGTACCACCAAGGAGTGCTTTGAAAGCGATGACAACCGCAGGCAGGTTTGGGGTGAATATGCATAAGGAAAAACTGGTGACCGCGGAAGAAAGCCCAGAAAAAGCCCTCGTTAACTGGAGGAATTGGGGAAGGGCTCTCACTGCACCAAGTCCATTCTCCTCCTCTCGCTGGGCTCCACAGCCTCCCCAGCAGGTTCCCCAGCAGCAAGGAAGCCCACGGCACACGAAGACACAGTCCAGGCAAGGATCCAGAGCCATGGAAAAGAGCAGGGACATGGGACGCCCAAATTACTAGCCTCATGAGGTGCCATTGTGACATTTCTAGAATAGAATTCCCTGTTTCCAGCTAAGTTTTCAGTGTTGGGCTTATGCATTACATCTCCTGATTTTTGTTTAAGAAGCCAGAATCTCAAAAACTCAAAAAACAACACATTTATGTGTTTTTTTACCAAGCCCCAATCACAATACTAAGATTTGTCATAAGCCCTATGAAGTGCAGGCCAGTATTATTTCATATACATAAAGAGATCTTGTAAGATTTTTAGGAATTATATATGAGAGTTTAATGAGAAATACAAATGTGTACTAAACCATACAAAATAGGCCATTAGCCTTTTTCATGGCAATTAATGTACGTCTTCATTATTTCAGATTAATATTCTGAGACCTCAATCCACAGATCTCTGCGACTGTTCTGGAAGGCCCTGAAGACACAAAGAAGCTGTGTAAACGCGCAGCATCCTCTGGCCAGCTCAAGGCAGTCAATTGTATTTGGTGGTTTTGGATGTAAGTGTTTAAGAATATCATGTTGGATGGTTTTCAGCTCACAGCGGGTGTTGGTGATGATCGGCGCGGTCCTGGTTGTAATTATGACATAAATATTATATGCTATGGAGTCCATGACTCCAGAGGGTTTTATTCCATTCCTATTCTGGCTTTAACCCTGATAATTTAACTCACTTCAGTGCTAATATCTGCCTTAGCAAAACAGTATAATAGTCACATGTAAAGGTGACCATTGAAAATACACTCTTCAGCTATTCAAAGAAAAAAAGTTCTGTACACTGGTATAGACCACAACACTGAGAGGTGCCAGTAAATCAGTCATACCTACAGGACCCAATTCACGGTTCCTCACTTTTTCTATCAGCAATGTCAATTAGCCAATATTCAAGGTCTATCTTCCCTCCAGAGCGCTGTTAAATTTTTAAAAATGCTTTATGTCTATACTGGACCAGTAGTAAAAACACTTATCTTTTTTTTTCCTTTCATTTCTCAAATGATACAAGCATGAAATTAATTCCAGTCTTTTTAAATATACATTTTATCAATTTTATCACATTATAAAAACATAGAAACTTTAAGCTCAAAGTTCGGCAATATCAACAGCAGTGCACATGGCTACCTGTTTGAAGACAGAGATTTCCTAGAATAACACAAACATTATCCCTGTGCTGTCAAGAACGATTATCTTTTCTTGTAGCTGTTAAATCAGAAAATGCACTTTCTATCCACAAAGGCACTAAACACCTCATGTGAACCTACTCTTCAGATGCAAGTACCATCATCCGGGTCTCCCTTTTCCCCCAGAGCAAACTGAAATAAGGAGCAAGAGATCATCTCCAAACACAGACAAGGAGAGCCTACGTTCAGCTGTTCAAGTGACCACAAATCCACTGCCTTCAAAACAAAACAGGTTAAAAAGGCATGGTTTACCCCAGTGTAACTGAGACCAGAATGTGGCCCTTTGACAACAAGCTTTTTTTGTACAATATTAATATCTCTTGCTGGCATGGAGACTTCAGCATTTTCCATGTCTGGAACTAGATCTCCTCCTCACCGGTATCTAGGGTCCTGTAACCTGTGCACTCCAAGTTACCAGAAACAGATGAAAGGAGCCCCCCTCCATCCCAGCCTTCACTCGGCCTTCAGGAAAACCCTTGTTATTTCATAAATCCATATACAAAACCTAATCCTAATTTACGGAAATTAAATCTAATAAAAGTGGAATGGTTTCCAGAAGGATCTCATGAAGTGGAATCCATCAGTGTAACTTTTGTCCTTCTCTTTTTCTGTCCAGCAGTTTTGATTTGTATCTTTAAACGCTTACGAAGCGAACCGATGAGGCTGACACAGTAGTGTGCGAAGGCTGCAATCAGGCAATTCCTTCCATATGAGTAATCAAGTTCATTCAGCTCTCGATATCTTGCAGCTTTCATTCTGGGGTGGGTGACTTGGAGGGAGTTCTCCTGATTTATTTCTTGATTTCTTTATATAGTTAAGTGAGAATCAGGCCCGTTGACTGCCGTAGGGTTGCACACCTCAGGAAGGACCAACCAGGCAGGGCCTGCAGAGCCAGCCCTGCATTCCTCGCTAGGGGTAAACACCATCCCGCCAAAAACCTACTCACACTTATAGAAACCTGTCCAAGGAACAACAAAATCAGTATTAAACCCAATTCTACTAAAGGGCAATATATTTTTCTCCTTCCGCCGGGAACATCTTGTTTACTGCTCAGGAAGGTTTCATTCCTACTGATAACATTGACCATTAAGGCTGGAGATAGAGAAGGGCAAGGGCTTATGGAAAGGGTAATTACTCAACAACAAACATAATGCTGCAGTGCTTTGGAGTTTACCTAATAAAGGACAATGAACAAATAACTGAAATGATGTATAACTGAAATGACTCACATTCAAAATAGAGATAGATTTGAAATATTTGCCTAGCATATTTAGATATCCCTTGAGCATTGTGGGTTTTGTGGCGACAACCAAACTAGGTCATTTGCTTTTTTTTTCTCTTACTGCTCCATTCTCTTTAATTACTTCTTTTTTAAAAATATTTTGCCATTCTCGGTTTTGTTTGGATGCAATGTCCAAAATTTACCACAACTGCACTGAGAAATGGAACGTTATTATTGGCAGCCGGATGAATCACGTGAAACTAGTGAAAGACCAACTTTTCTCTACCAGATTTTCTCTAACAAGTGAAAACCATCCATGCTGGAAGAGGCCACCAAAGGCCTCCACAAAGAGAAAATTATTAACTTAAAAAGTGCCAGCACAGCAAAACGTGGGATTGCAGAGCAGGTACCGCACAGCTATTCCGCATCCCCCTCAGCATCTCCAGTGCTGAATCATCTTCATTACTGCAA